ACAGATTTGATACATTAAACACTAAAGACCGAAGACCGGAAGAGTTGTGGGATGACATCAAGAACATCATACATGAAGAGAGCAAAAAGTCATTATGAAGACAAGAAAGAAGGAAAAGGTCAAAATGGATGCCAGAGAGACACTGAAATTTGCTCTCCAGCGTAGAGATGCTAAAGCAAATGGAAGAAATTAGGAGGTACAAGAGCTGAACAGAAAATTTCAAAGGTCAGCTCGAGAAAACAAAGTCAAATATTGCAAGGAAATGTGCAAAGATCTGGAATCAGAAAACCAAAAAGGAAGAACACGCTCAGCATTTCTCAAGCTGGCGGAACTGAAGAAAAAATTCAAGCCTCGACTTTTGTTATTAAAAGATTCTCTGGGCAAATTATTGAATGATGCAGAAAGCAGAAAGAAGATGCAGAAAGCATCAAGAGAAGATGGAAGGAAAACACAGAGTCACTATACCAAAAGGAAATGGTTAATGTTCAACCATTTCAGGAGGTAGCCTGAAGATAATATGGTCAAGAGCCAATGATCCTGAAGGAGGAAGTCCAAGGTGCATTGAAGGAATTGGCAAAGAACAAGGCACCAGGAATTCATGGAATAAAAATTGAAATCTTTCAAGAAAGTGAGGCGGCACGGGAGGCACACACTCATCTCTGCCAAGAAATTTGGAAGACAACTATCTGGCTGACTGATTGGAAGAGATCCATATTTGTGCCCATTCCAAAGAGAGGTGACCCAACAGAATGCAGAAATCATTGGACAAGCTCTTTGATCTCTCAAGCGAGTAAAGTTTTGCTAAAGGTAATACAGAAACGGCTGCAAGCATACATCGACAGAGAACGCCCAGAGGTTCAAGCCGGATTCTTCAAAACAAACCTATGAGTTTGGTAGACAAGAAAAGTGAGACGTAATTCAATAACTTGCCCAAGGCCACATAGCTTAGGAAGTGGCAGAGCCAGAGTTCAATTTGAGGTTGTCTGGATCCAAAGTGCTTGTGGTGCTTCGTCAAGTTAATTCTGACTCATAGCGACCCTATGTGCAACAGAACAAAACACTGTTTGATTCTGCACCATCTTCACAAGTATTGGCATGTTTGAGTCCATTGTTGCAGCCACTATGGCAATCCACATTGCTGAGGGTCTTCCTCATTTTCATTAACCCTCTACTTTACCAAGCATGATGTCCTTCTCCAGGGACAGGTTCCTCTTGACAACATGTCTAAAGTATGGGGGATGAAGTCAATCTATATTCACTTCCAAGGAGCATTCTGGCTGTACTTCTTCCAATACAGATTTGTTTGTTTTTCTGGCAGTCCACGGTAACTTTAATAGTCTCCTCCAACACCATAACTCAAATGTATCAATTCTTCTATGGTCTTCCTTATTCATTGTCCAACTGTCACTTGCATATGAGGTTATTGAAAATATCATGGCTTGGATCAGGTGCACCATAGTCCTCCAACTGACATCTTTACTCTTGAACTCTTTCAAGAGGTCTTGTGCAGATGTGCCTGATGCCATAGGTAAAGTATGATATGATAATGAAATGTGCAAACCAAAATGGAAGAACAAGAAAACAAATTCAAGCCTTGACTTGTGATACTGAAGGATCCTATGGGTAAAATATTGAATGATGCAGAAAGGATCAAAAGAAGATGAAAAGAATACACCGTCAGCGTACCAGAAAGAAATGGTTGCTATTCATTTCAAGAGGTAGCATATGACCAGGAACCAATGGTACTAAAGGAAGAAGTCCAAGGTGCACTGAAAGCGTTGGCAAAGACCAAGGGTCCGGGAATTGATGGAATACAAATTTAAATCTTTCAACACATTGATGCAGCACTGGAGTTGCTCCCTCATATATGCCTCTCTCTGGTGGTGGTGGTAGGTAGGTATGTGCTGTGGAGTCGGAACAGACTCATAGCGATCCTGTACAAGGTTTCCGAGGCCATAAATCTTTCTCCCGCGGAACCGCTGGTAGTTTCGAACTGCTGACCTTAAGATTCGCAGCCTGATTATTGATTCTTAACCACTACACTACCAGAGCGCCTTATGCCTCACTCTACTCCTTCCCAAATTATGAAGCTCTGTTTAGGTTTTTTCTCTCGAACATGGAAGCCATGATGATAGCAAGAGACACTCCGCAGCACCTAGTAAGGCATCCAGGACACAGAACTGCATAGTATAAAAGGTATTGGGGGTGGGGGTGAGGAAAATGGGGAGGGAGAGAGGACTAAGTGATTTCTTGTCCTGGAAACTGGGGTTGGGTTGAGGAAGTGGCAGCAATTTGTAAAACATGGACATTAACTCCAGATCTGGGAAACCAGGTTCCCTGCCTCTGACCTATGAAAAGACTGGAAGTGGACTACATCCAGAGAGTCTGAAAGGTTAATAAGTAATCTAGTTAGAAAAACGATCTGCGGTGTTGAATCCAAGCCGTGTAAGGTGGCATTATTGGTTCACGTCATCGAAACACCAATTAAACTAGCCCTAACCATCCCGGCAAAGTCGATCCCAGGGTCTCTCCTAGGACAACTTTCCAAACTCAATCAGAGCAAAGAGCTGTCGTCAGCGCGGGAACCTGCAACTGAGAGCCGGAATCTTTAAGTGCAGAGCAGCTGGCGCATGCGTAAATCGATTTCAGTCCTCCCCAGAGCGTTTCGCCATATGGGCCAATCACAATGAGGTATTGACTGCGACGCCTGCGTACTTGGTCTCCGGTCGCAGTTCCCTGTCCTTTGCTCTAGCACGCTGTCTGCAACTGTCCAATGCTCACGCGGAGCCGGGAGGCGGAGCCTGCGTAGTGTGCGTGGGAAGGGGGAGGGCATGGGCAGGCGCCCATGGTGTTTGACCCGGCGGTCTGTGAGTGAGAAGAAAGGGAAGGAGAAGGTGGTCTGGAGGAACTGTTGCCGAAATGTTCCGGTGTGGAGTCCTGGCGGCGGGTGCCTTGCGTCAGAAGCTGTCGCCTTTGGTGCGGACAGTGTGCGTCCGAGGCCCGAGGCAGAGGAATCGGCTTCCAGGTGACTGACCCATCCCGGGCACCCTTACCTCCGGCGCCCCTGGGCCTGGAAGTCCTAGGCTCTGCTGCCTCGCAGCCCTTCCGCCCTCTCCCTCTCAAAAAACTGAACACACCTACAGTTGCAGGAATCTGGGATTGCGATTCAAACTATGGTTTCAGAAAGCAGAGAAATCCTCCCGGCCATGCCGAGCTGACCTTCATGGGACTTGCACCCCAGTAGTCGGTGTGAGGATGGCGCAGGACTGGGTGGTGTTTGGTCCTCCGGTACCTAGGGTCGTTATGAGTCAGAGCCAACTCGAGGGCACCTAAGAACAGTCAGCAATCGGCATGAGCCCCTTCTTGGGAGGGTTTGCTGATCAGGATGATAGATAGAACAGCTGGCCTTCGTGTCTTGTCCCACCACGACACGCCCACCCTTTTTGAGCCGTGAGGTCAAGTAGACAGACTTTATCGTGCACTGACCGTGAGACTGTAAACAGAAAATTTAAGCCCCATGCCTGAGTTTCTTTGGTAATGAGGATATTATCTACTCTACCTTCCAAACCCCAGATGGCCTGTGACACAGAAACAATGCATTGCAAGTCACTTGTGCCCCAGATCTCAAGATTGTTGGCCCAGGATCAGTTTGAGATGTTTGGCCAGTGTAGCTCTGGGTGGTCGCTAAGGCTTCAAAGGAATGGTTTGCAGTAAGTATTGTACTTTCCTCCATAAAGTTATAGCATCAGATTTTCAAGCTTGAAGGGGTTTTCTGGTACTCATTCATTTTATAGCTAATAAACCAAGGCACAGAGAACTGAAATATCGTGCCCGAGGACACATAGCTAATTCATAGGTCGAGAGAGCTAAGGTTACTTTGCTGGTCTCTAGGCCTCTAATTCCCATGCCACAACTCCACACTGTTAAGTAAAGTTTAACCTCAAAGGATAAGAAGAAATTCAGTTCTCCTCCCAGTAATTAGCCTACTGTACAACAAGTATCCATGAATTTATCTGAGCTTAGCCTGAAGCTGCTTTTATTTTTAACTTGTACAACTTCATGGTGTAGTGAATTATCCACCTGTAGGAGGTGCAATAGGAGCTCTGGTAGCGTAGTGGTTATGAATCGGGCCTTGAACCTCAAGGTCAGCAGTTCCAAACTACCAGCAGAACAGCGGGAGAAAGATGAGGCTTTCTGCTCTGGTAAAGATTTACAGCCTTGGAAACCCTGTACAGGGTCCCTATGAGTCGGAACCAACTCCCAAGCACATAACCACCAGCCACCACCAGGAGGTGCAATAAACAAAACATACACCAATGCAACATGTACAATCTAGTAACGTTGATTACATTCAAGTGATGCAGCCATTCTCACCTGCTTTCTGAGTTATTCCTCCCTCATTAACGTAAACCCACTGCGCTCTAAGGCTCCTATCTGATCTTTCTAGTTGCTCTTATCAATCTGATTCCACATCAGTAGTTCTTAAATGACTGCTGAGGTTATTTTTGGTTTAAAATTTAAAGATTATCTCAAGGCAATAGTTTTAGGGGCTTTATCCACCCTCTCTGAAGAAGTCTGAGGTCCATGATAACTTGAAATTCTGTTCTACATTTCCCCCGTTTGGTCAGGATTCTTGTGTGGAATCTTTGTTCAAAATGTTCAATAATGGTAGCTGGGAACCATCCTCTTCTGGTTACTTGGCAAAGGGGGCAGTTGTTCATGGAAGTCGGTCTCCTCCTCCTGTTCTTGACTCTCCTTCTTTCTCTGTTGTGCCAGGTGACTAGCCTAATTGTGTCATGGATGGCCATTTGCGGTCTTATAAGACCTCAGGCACTACACAGTAAACTACAAGGTAGAATAGAAGTATTAAAGATACAAGATAGCAAACAGTGGTGGTTGTAAATATACAAGGAAAGTTCAACACGTTTGTGGAAAAATGGAATGAAAAGATAATGGAATTTTCCTACGAACTTTTGAAAGCTCCCTTTTATCTTTCACACAACTTTTAACAGTTGTACCACTTATTGACAGCAATTTGAGCAATTGGCTGTGCAACTCTGCGTTTTAAAAAAAGAATGAAAAACCTTTGAATGATCGATCATACCAGGGGCACTTCTGGTGCTTAGAAACTAGAAAGCAAAAAATATTTATATTAGTTTGGTAGAGGTTTTGCACATATGCATTTGAACAATTTTTCCAGTTGCTGTTCTTCAATATGGAGTCCTGTTGTGGTGCTGGAGGATAAGCACTGGACTGCTAAATACAATGTTGGTGCTTCAGACCTACCAGCCGCTCCTCAGAAACCCTATACAGGATCACTGTGGCTTGGAACTGACTCGATGGCACTTAACAACAACAACAGTGCTTCAATAAAAGGAGTTCTGATGGCATGGTGGGTTAGGCATTGGACTGCTAACTGCAAGGTCAGTGATTCAGATGAGGCTGTTGCTTCTATAAAGATTTACAGTCTCGGAAACTGTAGGGTCGTTGTGAGTCAGAATCAACTCAGTAGCGGTGGGTTTGATTGTGTGTTTTTTTTGTTTTTTGTTTTTTGTTTTATTATGCTTCAATAAAATATTCCCTGATGGGTGTGGCTCAGATATATCCTAAGACATAAATTGCTCTTAGAGCTTAAAATTATCTGCCTTGAGTTTGTAACTAATGACCCAGCTGTGTGGCTTTTGGGCCTTGAAATGATAGTACTCTGTGCATGTTGGCCAGCAATTTGAGAAGTATCAGATAACCCAAAGATTTCATCCACATGGCATTTTCAAATTTTGCTCAAGACTCACAACTTTTTATTAGCATTGTTAAGTCTGACCAAAAGGTCTCATTAATTAATCACAGGTTTTTGAAGTTAAATTGTTTATGGGATTACTGCTATTAAAAACCATAAAACCAGTTGTCAGTTGCAACTCATAGTGACCCATGTGTGCAAAGTAGGATTGCACTCCACAGGGATTTTGGAAGTAGGTCTCCAAGCCTTTTTTCCACGCCACCTCTGGCTCTGTTTCAAACTGTCAATCTTGCAGTTAACAGTAAAGCACTTAACCGCTTGTGTTACCCAGACATTCCTGTTACTGTTGACATGCCTTTGAGTCGGTTCTGGCTTACAGTGACCCTGTGTAGGGTTTCCAAGGAGCAGCTGGTGGGTTTGAACTGCAGACCTCGTGATTAGTGGTCCAGTGCTTATCCTACAGCGCAAATACAGACTCAGAATGCCTTTTTCCATTGCATGACCTTGTTCAAGGGCAGTCTGCTGTGAAATACAACCTGGCTTCCTGAAGTATTTGTCAGTCCTTGTACAGACTCCTTATCCTTTGAGTAAGCACCAGAGGATGACAACGCCTTCCTTTAAAAATGCTTAGGAGTGGGGCCTCAATCATTCTAGGAATTGACACTGCTCTGTGGCTTCATTTTACTCATTGTTTTTAATTGATTCACATAGTAGTGGTGGTAAGTGCCTTGGGGTAGGTTTTGATTCTTAGGGAGAGTTTAGGGTTTCCGAGGAGTGGCTGGTGGATTTGCACTGTCAACCTTGTGGTTAGCAGTCCATTGCTTACCTAACAGCGCCACACCAAGACCTGAGGTCGGGGAGATGCAATATTTGTTTCTACACCATTTCCCCCTCCCAGAATGAAGATGGGATGGAAGACGGAAAGCTTGCTTTGTTCTTTCCCTCTTCCCTTTGTAAGGAGTCCTAATCTCACTGTAGGATAAGCCTTGGACTGCTAATCACAGCTGCTCTGCGTGAGAAAGATAAGGCTCTCTAGTGCTGTAAAGATTGCTAAGTCGGATCTCTTCCCTTTATACTTTTTATTTCCCGACATTTGTTTTGAAAATTTTCAAACTTACAGAAAAGTTGTAAGACTGGTATAACAACCATCTGTCTTTCACCTAAATTCATCGATTGTGAACTTGCTATATTTTATATTTGTATCTGTACAGCTCTATATGAGAGGGCTTCAAAAATTTCATGGAAAAATTTCATGGAAAAATTGCATTATCTTTCAATTCCGTTTTTCCCCTCCAGACCCTTTTCTGAGGCGCCTTTCTGTAGACTCAAACCTCCAACCTTTAGGTTAGCAGTGGAGCACACTAACCATTTGCACCACCCAGGGGCACCATTGTTGTTGTTGTTGTTGTTATTGTTATGTTCTGTCGAGTCAGTTCTGACTCATAGCAACCCTGTATACGGTTTCCAAGGAGCGGCTGGTGAGTTTGAACCACCCACCTTGCAATTCAAACCAGCATTGAGGTCAAGTGCTTATCTTACAGCACCACACCAGGATTCCATGAATATATATGTTGTTAAGTGTTACCGAGTTGTTTCCGACTCATAGGGTTTCCGAGGAGCAGCTGATAGGTTTGAACCACCATCCTTGATGTTAACAGTCCAGTGCTAATCCTACCAGAACTCGTGGTAGTGTGCCGTGGAGTCGGTTCCGACTCATAGCGACCCTGCATAGGGTTTCCGAGGCTGTAAATCTTTACAGGGCAGAAAACCTCATCTTTCTTCCGGGGAATGGCTGATAGTTTCGAACTCCTGACCTTGAGGTTACCAGCCCAACTTGTAACTACTACACTATATATCAAGAGAGACAGCATGCTAAACTACCTGAAATGTTACAACTACTGTAACACTTCACCCACCAATCTTTCAGCATGTGTTCTCGAAGAACAGGGGCATTCTCCAACATTAGCACAATACCATTACCACTTTCAGGAAATTTAGTGCTAAGAAAATACTATCATCTAATAACACCCTCCCTGCCCAAGTTTTTCCAGGACATTAGCAAACTCGATCATTCCCATCTGTCACCATTGTCTGGTTCATTTCAGTTACATATGTTGCCTTTTGCCTTAATAGCTACTGTTTGTTTCATTAAGGAGCCCTGGTGACTGTGGGTTAAGTGTTGAGCTGTTAACTGCAAGGTCGGTGGTGGTTGGCCGTTCAAACCCACCAGCCATTCAGTGGGAGAGAGATGAGGCTGTCTGCTCCTATAAAGATTTACAGTCTCGAAA